TATTTCTCGTGGATCACATCAAAACCAGTTTGATTTCTGGTGAAATTTGGAGCTGTTTCTAGCAATCGTCTTTTAATTCCTCTTTTTTTCCATCGGTAACGAAAGAGGTTTTGCGATTTTCAGCCCTTCCATCCGCAATAGCAAAGTAGCAATGCATACCGGGCAGTTGCAGTTAACTTTAAAAGTTAACCTTAATTTTTAAAGGAAAAATATCAGAGTATAGAATACCGGTTATTAACGCGATCAATCAGCGACTGTTAATAATAATCACGTCACAATATAGTTTGCACATTCCATACACTGATATTTTTCATAATCTTACCCATTCTTAATTTATCGTAAAGAAAAATAAATAATTCTTAAACCAGACTTTCTAAAAATGCAAAGGAATCTTTCAGTTTAAAATATTGTGCTGTATTATATTTGGCTGATAAATTATGTTTTGAAATTAATTTTAAAGCCAAATATGGAATCACCGCTTGAAATGAGAATATCATGCGAGTCGTTTACCTCCACAACCTCTAGCGAAACAAATTTCGTCTATCTATTAACTGTAAACGTCTGAATCGGGGATAATCACTCTAAACTTCAAAAATCTAGGTATTGACTCTTGTGTTCGTAAACTACTCTTAAACGTTATGTTTTTCAAAACTTTATTGGATTATTGTTTGTTTAAATACTTTTATTTTATACCTTTCTTTAAATAAAATAATCACATTATGGGGGAAGGATCTAGACTAGACCCAATGTAGCCCTGCCGTTTTGCGAGATCAATTTTATCTTTCCCTCCATGACCTTGAAGTAGTAATAATAGTTTCCCTTTATCAAGAATGTTTCTTGCCTGTTACGGTCATTTACAAACGAAGAATGTGGCATACAAGAAAAGATTGATATTCTAGTTATGTGGTGGCGACCAGAAGATTGACACGGATATGGACTATTGTAATAGATAGTTACTTCAGGGTTCTAGTTTTAGCCTTATTATTAGCCTGTTCCATCCATAGCAAGATACATGTCTCTTCACCAAGCAGATATTTGTAGACACGAAAGGTATTATCTTGGTGCTCTTTGTTCGCCAAGGGTTCGCCATATGTGTATAGGTTCTACAGTCGCTATAATAATTTTCCCATTCCCAGGGACCAGAAGCAACCAGAAAAATATCTGCTGAAATATTTCAAACATCGTGTTTAATTTTTTTATTCACAATCGAAAGTTTAATGATAATATTTATTGTTCTGCATTAAAAAATCATAAGAGCTGATGCCGCCATCCGATATTTCAGGCTTTAATTTTTACGCTACACTTTATGTTTTGCGGCTCAAAATCTATAAGACATAAAAGCCTGAAATTGCGGAGGTGTGTTGAAAAGTGTACAGAGCACAATGGAATTAAATAATTTTAACATTCGAAATTTTTTTTCGAGAATATCAAGTGTTAAACTTACAGTAATAATAATGGTCCGCTCTGCAGCCCTAAGAACACGAGTTTTTCTTTCCTGAAAATTACACTATCTCAGAAAGTTATTGTAATTCCAAGTGCTTTTTTCTCGCTTTGTTTATTTCTAATAGTGATTATTTATCCATTGTTGAAGGAAATTTAATTTATTTATATTAAGTCTATTATCTTCAAAGAAGAAGAAACGGATATTAGATGTTACAAGACATAAATCTTAACATTAAAATTTCCAAAAAATATAAAAAATTTAATTAAGAAATAAAAAATGTCTCAATTTGAACTGATATAAAAACATAGGGTAATCGTTATACATCGTTAACGAGTAAAATTACTTCAAAGTATTATAATTGCTTTTTCAAGTACATTTGATTAGTTTTCAGATCCATTTCAATACTATTATCATATTAATTTATCATTATATGTCGTTAACTAGTAAAATTAATTTTCTATTATTTCTTCTTATTGTATTCGATAATCCCAAGTTTAATTTTTTTTTCTAGTGCATTTGATTAGTGTTGAGATCCAGGTCCATTTCATTACTATTAACGTGATGACAAAATATTTTATATAAAATTATAATAATTATATATTTTATAAACATTAAAATCATTTTTGTGAGGGAAGAAAGCAAGAGTGAATGAATAGCAATCAAGGGAGGTGATAAGGGGAGGGTCTCCTGAAAAAAGCGAGGGCAAAAAAAGAACACTTCAATATGAGGTGACCGGGTTCGAATCCCAGCGATGGCTGGTCGATGTGAATTGCACCGACCACAGTGCTGACGTAAAATATCCTCAGTGGTAGATAGGTCATGGGCTAGAGTTCCCTTGCAGTGAGACTAACCGTGGAAGGTTTTTGTGGTTTTCCTCTCCATGTAACGCACATGCGGGTTAGTTCCATCAAAAAGACCTCCACGAAGGCAAAATTTCTCTCAATACTTGATCCAGGAGTTCCCTTGTCTTCTGGATTGAGTTCAAAATTGCAAGGCTACGGAGTTGAACATTAGTAATCATAAGCCCCAAAAATTGGGTTCAGCTGTTCAATGACGGTTATAAAATAAAATAAAATACAACAGAAATAAAATAAAACGAGCCTCTTCAGGATCTCAAGGTACATGCTCGTGATCACACAATTGAATATAAATAACGTTTTAAAAAATAAATAAATAAAAACCCGGGAAAAGGGGGGAAAGACATAAAATAAGCGGTAAACATTAAAAATATGCGTAGATTAAGAAAAATTAAAAAATGCGAAGATTAAGTTTAAAGGCAAGGCAATCAGAAGTGCCATGTTTTGTACAATTTTAAATTTTCAGATAGGAAAGCTGGGACACAATCATGAAGAATATCATGAAGATAGAGAATGTGCGCTGTAACGGAAATATTCAACAATTTATTGAAAGTTAGTAATCAAAAAATATTAGGCACAAAAATAAAATGGTTAACAGTAAAATTTTTAAAAAACATGACAAAAAATCTTTTAAAAATTATACTTTCGACTCTATGAACAAGCATAATTGAAAGCACTAAATTGGAATACAGTTGCACTCCATTGCAATAAATAATAATGAATTAAGGTTTAAAATAATGAATGAAGGGTTGAGTAAAGAAAGTGTACTTTGGGTGCGATTTCTTGCTTTACTCTATGAATTAGAATATTTTAATTATAAATTAGAGTATTTAGCACTAATTAACTAGAATATTTTAAGTGGATGCTCCTCAAATGACAAAAAATGTATTTAATACGTGAAAGTCCGATCATTAAATTAAAAAGTCATTAAAGATTTTTTTTTCCTCACCATGCACTGTAATATTATTATACCGATTATTCCACAATATATAATTTTAGAATCCTAGTTAAAAATAAAAAGTATACACATTGAGGTTATCAAAATAAAAAGAGAAACAAAAGTGGTACAGCAACCTGTCGAATCACTAGTGAGGAAGGCAGATCTTCAAAAATCAATGCTATTGCGGAATGAAACTTGGAGGTGTTTCAAACAAACGTCTTTCAACTCCACTCTGTTTTCCAATTTTCATATTTTCCGTCTCGCCTTCTTCTGTAATGATTTATTGGCATGTCTTTTTCCTTGTTTTAATGTCAATATGTTACTTCTGCATATAATTTGACTTTTAAGGACAAGATATCTCAAATTATCTCAATCGAACATAGATCACATTTTCGAAGGAAAAATGGTTACCGTTCTTATCTTACCTTTCTGGCAGAGGTTCGAAACCAGCCAAAAACTAGTAAAGTTTTATACCGTTAAAAAATATTTTGTACTGTTCAAAAATTAAATTTTTATACTGATCGCAGTACAAAAATCTACCAGCCATGCACAAAAAATATCAGAAAAAGTATTGGATCATACCATAGATTTAATTTTCAGCATCATCGTTCTAATATTGGAAAGTTTTTATTTATTTCCTTTACAGATGTAGGACTGATTGAGTAAATGTATAGTTAAAAATGGCACAAGAGCTGGGCAAAGTTCAAAGTATACATACTTTTGGACAGTGTATGCGCAAGGAAACAAAATCAAATAGAGCTAGTTACTCCTCGAAATTAAAAAAATAAAAATAAAAAGTCTCATTCGAAATTAAAAAGAGTGAGGCGAAGGAACTATATCGAAAAAAGGAGAAAATGTCTCTTAACAACTCAAGTGTCGTAAAAATCTGTATTTTTCCAAATGATCCCCCCCCCCGAGATCAAAAATATACGAAAACGAAAGTGAATGATAATTATTGCCTCAAATCCAATACGTGAATAAACTATTCATCACATTTTATAAATTTATCATAAGTTATAAACCAATAGAATATGATTTTAAAAAAATTATGCAGTTAATAATTTTACTTCGCCAACTCTAAACTTCAAAAAAGAAGTTCGATTCCAACTTAAACATTCCTTCCAACTTAAATATTCCTTCAGCTATTCGGGGTTAAATTAAATTTGAAATAGAAGAAATAAATCTGAATTTTATAGATATAGAATTTGTTTGTTGTCATTGAGTCCAAGCACGAATTATTCATAATTCTGTTTTTCCAAAATTCTATAATTGTCTAAATGAATAGATTATTGCTCCCCCCCCCCCATTTTTAAAAAATAAATAAATTAGGAACTTAAATATTTACATATTGTTTTGATTTCTGCAAATGCTTTAACATTTTCTGTTTACATCATGAAACTATACGTTTTAACAAGTTTATATTTATCATTAAAATATGTTATAACACAATTTAGTTGGCATAACTTTGTCAAAACACGTAGGGAAATAAAAATAATTTATCGTAACAACGTGTATTAATATTTCTTAATGTATTAAAATTGTTTATGATTACTTATTTTATGATCAGATTTAATTTTTTAATATTGCTTAAAATAAATATTTCTGTAAATCGTCTCATAAATTTAAGCGAAAGCATTTGTTTACATTTTTTAAAATATAATGTTTTACAAAACGAACACTAGATGGCAATAAATCAACAATCTAGGTGGCACTGCAAGTTTATCGGCCTAGAAGAGAGGGCGCTGCGTGCTCTGACGTTGATAACTGGTTCCAGCTAAACTCGGTCGATCAAAGCAGACAAAAATATCAGCCAATCGTCATCATATTCGTGTTTGATTCCATCAGGAGAGGTACTGTAAAATTGCAGGCGGTGTGTTGTGAACCCGCTGTGTTAACATCCCGAAAAGTTCCATTTAAGTCTGAAAACATTTACAAATTCTTCTAGCAACTTTCAATCTCAATTACGACTTGTCGAAGAACGAAATAACATCGCTGACTGCGTTGATTCTATCGCAGTCGTCACCATCATTTGGCTCAAGGTCCAGAATACTGTTAAAACTGGCAATACCAAGGCAAACCGCCGTCGCAAGAAGAGCTTACCGACCGTCAAGATGAGAGAAGAAATCCATAGCGCCGCTAATTTCCTCACCAACATGATGAGGCTAAAAGACAATGTCAATCAGATCGACGTGAATAAACTGGAAAAATTCCGTAGTACCCTTCTTGAAATGCTGATTACGAAGTACGACGATCACTGGTTTCCGTTCAATCCTAACAAGGGATCGGGATACCGCTGCATTCGAATTAACCACAAAATGGATCCGATTTTAAGTAAAGCCGGAGTCGAATGTGGTTTTCCCGAAGAAGTTCTGAAGGAGAGATTTCCCAACGAACTTACAATGTGGGTTGATCCGAGGGAAGTGAGCTATCGAATCGGCGAAAATGGAAGCATCTGTGTTCTGTACGAGGGCTCTGAAAAGACCGATAACCGACAAGATCGAACGCCGACTGCTACGATGGATTGTATCCGGAATTCAATCGGCCGTATGTCCATCTCCAAGTCTATTTCGAATTCCTCCGACGATATCGGTAGCTGCAGTCCTATGTCCATATCACCGCCAACTCCCGGATTTGAGCATTTGAGTACATGTAAAAGTGAATTCAGCTTCAATTCCGATTTCATCATGGAGGCCAGAAACGGCAGTTTCGTGGAGTATGTCAGCAGTTAAAAGTAAATCGGCGGATTTATTTTAAATGCTTTTTTTGTTCTCATCGCCAAACGACCATCACCATTTTATTCCATCACAAGTCTCATAACTATCATAGATCGAGGAAATTTAAATCTGTTCGTGATTTCTATGGTGATAATATTTATAGCGAATCAAGTACAAAAAGAATGAATTTTACATCAAGGGACCATCAATCCCATTTGTGATAAATTCATCTCTGATTTCAAGATATTCAAAAGATCAACCAAATTTGATTTTTGAGATGATGGTCGTTATGAAATTTTTCTTTGTTAAAATAAGTTGCCTCTTCTATTTGCATTAAAACTCTACACAATGAATGGACTTAAAATATTTAGTTTTCCGTATTATAGATTTTAAAAGCTATTGATTGTTACAAAATGCATTCTCATTATAGATTATTTGACTACGAAATGTATTAATCAAACATGGAGTGTTTGCTCGTGTTTAAAGGCATATAAATCATCATTTATTAAAATTCGGATATATTTTTTGAAATTCTAAGGTGCTTAATATCGTTTATTAATTTGTGTTAATTTGAAACACATTTAGGAATTTTACAGAATATTGTTTTGCATTAAATGGAATATTTTGTGAGTATAAAATACTTCTAAATATTTAAATCACCATTTCATTTCTGAAATTTTCTAAAGCTTCCATTTAAGTTTTGCGTTTAATTAAAACACTCTTTGGAAATTTTATTGAAAATTGTTTTCTATTAAATAGAATAATCTAAATAAAAATACTGCCAAAAAGAAGTATTTTTTTTTCTATTAAGTTTTTAATTCTGAAGCCTGGTGATTAATATATTTCTAGTCATTTTAATGCATTCTATTTACAATTTTAATTAAATTTTTACATATTTTATATTTGATTTATGTATAAAATGTAAGTTTTCTTTTAATTATTTATATTTTTACAACCGTTTACTATTACATATTTATCTGTGAATAGTTTTAATACTGACTACGAAGAGGCTTCTTATGCTACAAAGAAAAAAATTCTTAAGTATGACTATCTTTTTAAGTTCAACTGCTTTCAAAAAGTTTGTATTTATGAGGGTGTTTTTTTATACGCAGGGCATTTGATATCTACCTGACATGGAATAAAACGAAAATTAATCTTCAGCGAATGTGATTAAACTAACGATTGTCTACTGAACTGCTCAGTAAGGTGGCATTTAATATAGTAACTCTTAATTTCAAATCTTAAATACCTACTGACTAGCTTTTTTATTTTTTCTCAGGATAGGAATTGGCTTGATTTATCTTTAAATTTTTTAATCAATTTTGTTTATTGTGAAAGTAAATTTTCATGCTATTTCATTTTAAATTTGAATTTTGTTATAAGTTCCTACTAAAAGAAAAATTGAATATACAAAATTAAATCTACTTTTTTGCCATTTTATTTGTAACTATAAATAACTGTCAATTTTTAAAGTTATTTTTTTCTTTTTGTACTTAATATTTTTCCAATTTCTATTAAAAATAATTTTCTTTTAAATATTTTTCCATCTTGACTCAAAGTGAACTGTGACATTTTTGATTGTTAAGTTAGGTCATTTGATAATTATGAATTTTCGATGATTAATAACTCATGAACTGGTTTCTTTTTTTTGGGATCAGAAATATAATGAAATTCTTTCCATTGCTCTTATTGTTTAAACTTAAATAAATTTTTTTATTTGCTAATTTTTCAGAACTTCAAAATTCTTTTAGATTTTATGCAGAATTATCTTCGATTTATTAATTTTTGTTGACTTAAGAAATGATTAATATTTTTGTAAATTTATTATATAATAATTTATCTTGTTTGATGAGCGATTACTATAAAATTCTAAAGGTTTTAATTTAGGCAGTGTCCTTTGTTTTTATGATTAATAGTAGTTATTTCTATATAACTTCTAACATTTGGTAACTATATTTCTTCATGCAATTATACTGTATGTATTTTGACATTTTTGCAATTGCTGTTGCTTATTTCATATATTTTAAACAAAAGAAGAAAAATTTTAGAAAAAAAAATCGAAAAAATTCAAATAAACAAAAAAGGCAATTTGGCTGTTCTACTTCTAAAGATTGTTATTTTTTAATTGGTAATAATTGTTGAGAATAAAAAGTGTTATTGAATATCAAATTCAATGCGTAATAAATTTAATGAATTCCAGCATAATTTACAATTACGTTTTACTAATTATTAAATCCATTCACCTTTAAATATATTTTCTATTGCTTACGAAATAAATTTAACTTTGCAAAACTGGTTATGAATAATTTAATTGCATATTCTATAATCCATTTATTACCTTATTAACAATTTTTTTCGTAAAATAGTCAAATTGTCGAGGTGAAAAGCCAATATTTTTTTCCTTCTATTTTTTACTGTGTAGGAAATTACTTAGTTTTTAGCTGATGTAGTAGAAATTTTTAAATATGTTTTGATTATTTCATTTATTGTAGATATTGCAATTTTTTATAAGCGATTGTTGCTATTACTGGATGAAATGACTCGTCAATGCTTCTAAAGATTGTTAGAAGTCTTAATTTTTATTTGCCTTTGTTTCTACCAATCTCAGCGTTCTAAAAAGTATCTGTAATGGGTGACTTAAACGAATGTTCAATTTAAATTTACTAAATTCGACTTAATTTATCTTAAAAATTAATGATATATTATTGGGGAGAAAGCTTTAGCTAATCGCCACACTGAATGTAAATTTCTAGTTAAAAAGTATAGTTTTGTGTGTAACGTGTTGAGGCCTGTGAAGGAAATTTAAAAATGTACTTCCGAGTTGTTATTTTAATTCATATTGAATTATATTAAAATAATAGCTTATTAAACTCACTATTTAAATTATAAAGAACTGCAATTTAAAGTAAAATTTTTAAAAAAAAATTCTAACACACAAAACTAAACTTTTTACTTAGGATCAATATAATTGCAATATTTGTTGTTATAAAATTTAGTAATTAATGCATCTTATCGAATAGTATGTGTTTTCTAGTTGTTTAATGATCTCCAATATTCTTTTTTGTTAACGTTGGAAATAAATGCAAGGTTCCGAACAAAAAGAGGGAGCCAGCCCTTAACTACATGTGATAATATGCACTATACCTTACTTGATATGGTTAAGGTTTGCCATGTAACTATGACCATGACTGGTGATGTGATCTTGCGGATATGTATCTGCAAGATTGTTTTATTGTGATGCACAATGTTTGAATATCTGGTCAAGTTTAATTTCAAGATTTTTGTTTGACTGTGATTTCTTTTTTTTTTCTAATTAGTATGTCATTATTAGCCTTATTCTAAGGATTGTGCTACATTCTCAAAGATAAATGAACAAGTAAGTTTTGTTTCAAATTTCTCCCTCCACAAAATTGTTTCACATGATGTGCCATAAAATTAAACAACAGATGAAGTTTAATGTCTCTAAAATGTGATTGTAGTGCTTTGCAGTCCTCGTAACTTTTTAATATTCACATTGTATCGATATTTTATATTTACTTTCTGCAACTTTTATTACATAAATATAATCTATTAATTATTAATACTGGTTTATTTAGTATTAATTAAGTGCTGAGTTAGATAACTAATTGAATATTGCTTAAAATGCTCAAATCGTAAGCAAGAAATATTTTAATTACTAATAAGGATCTATTGTTAGTTCAATAACTAATTATTAGTTGTTTAAAATATTCTAATTCGTTGTAAAATATTCTACTAATTACTTATAGTTCTATGTTAATTATGGCCTCATTTCTATGTTTAATTACTGTTTTAAATATTCAAATTCTAAATTTTTTAAGGTTAATCTTGAGTGTTTATACTCTACTTTTCAATTGAGTATTCAAAAGAAAAAGTGTTAAAAATTATGTATATATTTGTCGATATAAAACTATTAAGTTTATTTCAAATTCAGCATAAAAATAAACATTACTATTCTATTTCTCTATTATTTTCACTAAATTTAAATTTCCAATTTTTTCCCTTTGACTGAAATTGCAATTTGAGAAGCACTTAATTGAGTAAAATGTTAAGTTTTAGAAGCACTTAAAATAATAGAGCTTACTCATTGGACTCCATCTGGTATTTAATTTGAAATGTGATTGTATAATGTAAAGTTTAAAAGAACATGCATAGCCTGAGAATTTTGTAACCAGTGTAAAAAATTATCAACTTCGTATTTCGACTCTACCAAGCGGCATGAAAGTTGAGGCGTGAAATATCATTGTGTCGCTACATCCTAGTCATTTTGTAGCATGGAATGTGCATTTTTATGGTGTGCAGTAAAAAAAGAGTATGTGTTAATTCCTATGAAGACCCATTTTTCACAAATTTTACGCACAAAAAAAATGTAGAATTTTGCTAAATAATTCAGGGAAAACGTTGTAGGAGTGTCTGAATGCCACCATTTTTAAATACAAACCATCTCAATGGACTGGCTCTTTTTTCTTTTTAAAACTTCGTTCAGGGCCGTGCACAATTTTCAAATATTTCTATATAATTGTCTTCTAGTTTTTAAGCCAAACTAAGGCCAAAGGAATGTATCTAGTAACTATTCTGAACTATTATTTGCGATGTGACGCGTGCGCCGTTAGATTTAAATTTTTTAAACTCCTGCCACTCTTAAGGGGCCGAATTTATAATTTAAGAATGTAATTAGGGATTTACTTAAATTTTTAAGGAGATTTTAATATATGCCTTTTAAAATAAGATTTAAAAAAAAGAACAGATATTGCGTAATTTAATCAGGGGTCTGTCAATGTTTTTCTGAGAGGTACATATTTTGTGAAAGTTTAGACATAATTTGTGAAACTTAAAAATCAACACAAAAATATGGATTTATCGTTTCTTACGGGATAAAAAAATAAAATTTTAAGAAAAAGTTTTTAATTTTGTTATTCAATTTCTTTGAGTTAGTTTTTTCAAATTTGGAGGATTGCTAGTTATTTTGCCGGTGAAAAGTTCATTTAAACCTTGTCCTGATTTCCTTCAAATTTGAAATAACTTCAAAGTTATTCTACAATAAATTCTGAAATTTATGACAACTGTCCATTGTTATTAAAATTATTTAATTTAGCCAGACCCAAAATGAGTCGATATTGTTTAAATTCGGTCCCTTTTTTGTAATAATTTACACAGTGACGGGTTCAGTCAGTTCCATCCCTGCTACATTGTGCAAAAAAGTGCATTTTAGCAATAGTATCTTTTGAACTATGCATTACTTAGTAAATTTGTAAAAAAAAACAGGAGTTTTTTTACATGGATATAATTTAAAGAGATTTTAAAAGTATCAACGATATGTTCAAGTATCCAGTCAAATCTTAACATTGTCAAGGGGCCACTGAAATTGAATGCTGTATTTTTACTGTCACTAAAATTTTACAGCTGTGGCAAATAACCAATAAATTTTTAAATCTCATAAATTTT